AAACGGAAGGCTAATTGTGTTGCAGTTTGTTTCTTCAATGATCCTACTTATTATTGGGAACAGCCACATAGATTGAAACCGTTGAATAATAAGATTATTGCGGAGTTTTTGAAGAATGGGTATAAGACTACTACTAATGGTGATCTGGTTATCGCTTATGAAGAAGCCAAGGGATACTCAAGTCTTCATGATTTTATTACGAATCGATTTGAACAGGAGGACAGACTAGATGAATTGGAAATTGAGGAGTTGAAGAAAAATACCATTGCTCAAGGTGAAGATCCCTTTGAAGGGAAATTGAAGGAACCTCGTAAACAGGTCAAAAATAATACACCTGCTTCTTCCCCTAATGTGCCATCAACAGTGGTCGTGACGGCAACAGTAGCAACATCTGTACCTGTTATTCCTCCAACAGCAGTGGAGAAAAGAAAATTAAAGACTCCTGAAAAGAATAGTAAATCTCAACCAGCAAAGAAGAAAAGCAAGCTGGATCATGCTAGAAGGATTGAGATATGTATGCTATTTCGAAGAAAGATTCAAAGAAACTTGGTTCAAAGAGATAACCCTCCAACAGATGAAGAAATCCTAGAGACACATCAGCTATTAAGAAAAATAGAAGAAAACCTAGATAGTGACCCTGCATTCTTCGATCTGAATTCATTACGAGAAAGTAAACTGCATAAATTACTCAAAGTAATACTCAATGATGATAATTTATCAGAATTTCATCAAAATTGTAAAAAAATATTAATGAGTTGGGCAAATTTAATTACAGATTTGAAATTGGAAAAAGAAAACAAACCAAAAGAATGAAAAGAAAAATCAATATAAATTAACCCCTGCCCATTCAATTCACATCACAATTTAATCAATTAATTAATTAATCATATCACCCAAATTTGTTTGCTGGGTATTCATTCTATTTATCTATTAATGAAATTTTGTTATACCCCCTCCTCCTACTCCTCTGCGTTTTTTCCATATTATCAATTTAGCTGATATGGGTTGTTTCAATATATATATATATCACCACAAACAGCACAGTTACCTTACGTCTACAATTTATTTCGTTACCATCTTAGCATATTATATAGTCATTAACTTTCATTAATTCTTAAACAAAAATTATTGTATCTATATTTCTGTCTGTCATCATATCCACTGCTGCCCTATTTGATCGATTTTTCAATTAGCGATGAGTGAAAAATTAACATCCAGCATTATAAAAGTTGAAATATTAGGTATAACTGAACAATAAACCATAAGTTATTGTTTGATCACATAGGATGTTTCTTTTAGGGTTTGTAAAGGTTCAAGTTGGACTGTAGATATATCCATATATATATACACACATTGATTTCGTAATGAGTAGTGGTGATTCTAATTTAAGTGCTGATGAAATTGCGCTATATGATAGACAAATTAGATTATGGGGCATGGCAGCTCAAGCAAGAATGCGTTCTGCTAAGGTGCTATTGATCAATTTAGGTTCAATTGGTACTGAAATAACTAAGAATATTGTATTGAGTGGTATAGGTAACTTGACTTTGTTGGATGATCATACTGTTACTGAAGAAGATTTGGGATCCCAATTTTTCTTGAGCAAAGAAAATGTTGGCTATAAAAGATTGGAAGTCACTAAGGATAGGATTCAGGAATTAAATCCTAGAGTAAATTTGACCTATGATGTTGGCAAGTTCAAGGAAAAGGATGCCGAGTACTTCAAGCAGTTCGATCTTATCATAGGAACCGAATTGTCAACTCTCGAAACGATAGAATTGAATAAAATCACTAGAAGGTTCAACATCCCATTGTATATTGCTGGCTCTAATGGGTTATTTGCATATATCTTTGTAGATTTGGTCCAATTCGATGCTGTAGATGAAAAATTAAAGAGCAGTGTTCCTGTAGAGATAGGGAGAATTTCTTCAAATAAAGAAGTCATTGAGGTGAATGTCAGAATTGATGAAGATGATTCAAAAAAAATATATGAAAAAGTTACTACTAGACATCATTATAAGACATTCGAAGATGTATTACAAGCGGCTTCTTTGAAAGATAAGTTAAATCGTAGACAATTGAAAAGACTTTCAGGTGCTGTTCCTTTAACTTTTGCCAAGTTCAATTTACAAAATAATCAAGCTTGTCCTACAAGTGAAGAATTGCGTAAAAGCATGCAAGCAATTTCTAATAAATTCGGTGTCCCAGTTGAAAATATTAAAGATGAATATTTTGAACAATTTGCAAATCAATCAGGTATTGAGTTTGCACCAGTATCTGCTGTTATTGGTGGTGCAGTAGCTCAAGATGTAATTAACGTGTTCGGCAAAAGACAATCTCCTATCTGTAATTTTATTATTTTTGATGGTATTACTTTGGATATGCCCATCTATGAGTTCTAAGACATTTGATTAAAAAAAAATAATTCTTGCATCTGTTGTATATATCCACTACCAAAAAGCATTAAGACATATGGTGGGGAGATATTATAATCTAAATGATTTTATCATTATCCTTTTACGCTTACTTAAAATATAATTTAACATGATATATAATTTTATCTAAGTATATTCTCACAAGAAAATATTAAGTAAACTGTTAAATACAATCCATTGTCATATAATATAATAAATACTTTAAGATTACCTATGCGATATTCTTTAAATACTTAAATGTCGACCTCTATACTATTATCTTAAAAATCAATTTTGACCACTAACGGCAACAGATTGTAAATGGGACATAAAGTTTTGTAATGAAACATCATCAGTTAAAACAACCGTCGCACCACCATGAGTGGCGTCTTGGTAACTGTGAGATGGGTTTAATTTGGATAACAAGAATCTAGCTTGAGAACCACCTGCTTCAGTATCGATAAATCTTGGCAATGGGAATCTGTCCACTAATAATTCAGCAGCTTCTAATTTAGGTTCTTCCAATAAAGCTTTGAAATCAGTGTATTGTGGATCATCTTGGTAACCTGCCTTTCTCCATTGCGCGATTTGTTCACCATGATAAATTAAGATGAAGAAGAAAGTGTCTAATAATAAGATAGTGTTTGGCTTAACAGAAACAGAATCCAACAAGACAGCCTGTGGCTCATCTTCCATTGAAAATGAGGTCAATGTTGGTTGAATCATAATCAATGAATTAGTAGTATCTTCTCTTGTAAAAACATGTCTATAAAAGGCAGTTTCATCTGGAGAATTATTGAAAACACTTAAAAATTGGGATCTTCTCAAATAATAAGTAAATTGAGGGTATAGTGAAAAGTTTGGTGCTAATCTAAAGGACATTGGATCATCTTTATTATAGTCAGCGTATTTCTGACATAACTTGATTAAAGTTCTATCAATCCATCTTATAATATCAGCACCATCATCATTTTCAGCCTTATGAACAGCAATTCTTGCCATCAACACAGCAGCAGCTTCTTGATCAAAAGAGGCAGCAATTGCTGGAGATCCAAATGGCAATAATTGATTTGCGACAGTGGTAACTCTGACACGGTTTGTACCAGAAGCATGTTGATAACTTGTAACAAATTGAGTGTAAGCCAAACGTGGGGAATCATTTGGAACTGGCGCATTGCTAGTAACAGTATTTGCAATTTCAAAAAATACTGCATAAGTATGATTAGGAGTCAATGCAGACATCTTCCAAATAGAAGTACCACCAATACCAATTTCAGTATCACTGATATTATTAGCATCGCTTTTCTTGACAGCAGACGCATGTCCGATCATACCTTGCAATTTCAAGTCTTTACTGGTCTTTACAGCCATTTGGCCATTGAAAGACATCTTCAGATAACCTTCTTCATCTTTAGCGAAGACTCTCAAGTAGGATTGTTTGAAAATTGCAGTTGAAAAAGCATCTGTCAATAATAAGACACCACCAGTTACGTCTGTTAATTGTTGCATTTCAGACATACCGACTTGATCATAACAACCAGCGAAGATATCGACAACGTGACCATTTTCGGCGACTCTTTGAGCGATGTTATTGTAATATTTACAAGCTTTCTTATAATGAGTAGCACGATCATTGTCGATATCATTGTGAGATCTGATAGGATCTTTCAATTCAGAAGAGACGATCAAACCTGGAGCAATGGTACCTGGACCTGAAGCAAATAAGATGATTCTTGCTGCGAAGTTTTTGTAACAACCTTGCAACAACAAAGAAGCAATGTTCAAAGCTTGACCAGTGGCCCTTTTTGGTCTATGACCAGCAGGAACAGCCCATTCATCAGGGATCATATTTTCTAACAATTGGGTCAATTTGAATTCAACTTGTTCTAAAGGCAAAAAGAATCTGTTCAAAGAAAATGGAGTAATCTTACCCATAGTACCATTCAAAGCCCCCATATTTGAAGAAGGCTTTTGGCCAGTTAGCATTTCAATAACCTGTTCGAATTGGTAGTCTCTATCACCTCTAAAGACATTACTTCTATCGATAATTTCACTGGACAAATCATGTAGTTCTACAGTATTACCATAAGTAATGAACCCAATTAAAGCATTTGGTGGTAATAGAGACAAAGAAGTGATCAAAGATTCTTTTAAGGCATCTAAATTCTCCTTTTCAGCAGTCACATCGACAACAAAGAAGAAAATAGGAGGGATCTGAACCGGCTTATTGGTAATATATTCAATAGTGGTGTTTTGCAATTCAGCTGGCATGTTTTCTTGACTCATGTTTGAATATTGAGTTGGTAAGTGATTTCTTGAATTACAGATTGGACATGTCCAAGAATTATTTCTTGGATCAATAATACAATAAGGATTCAAAATGGACTTACATTGTGGACCAGAACAAATCACTGGATTGTATTGAACAATGTTCAACTCCTCAATCTCCTTCAAAGGAGTATAAAGACATCCAACTGGAACAACGTTCTTATTAGCATCTGTTCTGGTTGATGGGAAAACGTTCCACGAAAACCTAACACCGTTGATATCCTCGTTAGTCTCAAAATCCATAATGTAACCTGACCTAACTGTACCGTTCGATTATACCTAATTTCCTATTCAAATAATGGTACCTCCTACCTCGAATGATCGATCTTGTAGTACTTTTATATCTCAACTTCTGTTGTATTGCACAGATTTGCCACGGTGGACCTTTCTTTTATCCAGTTCCATTTTGCAATTCCTGAAACGATCTGATCACGTGATATTGGATCAGGGTAACAATAATATTTAAGACGTGGGACCCTCTTGCGTGTGTGTCTTGTAATTGTATTTGCCGTTAAACAATACAACTACAAGAACTCATACACATACTCACCCATATATTTAGTTATACAGCTATTTACTAACTTCTAGGAACTCCAATTCCTCCATGTCATCTCTATTAATAACTCACTTTTCACTCACCAACCAAAAGTTTACGTTTTGTTCTTAAATCCATTGCTTCTGATGGCTCAGGCCCTGATTGAAAGACGGTCACGTGGGTAACTTTCAACAAGAAACAGATAGTTACTGTTAAAATATGTGTATATATATGAATATAAAACATACAGTTCTACCCAGTAAAACCACCCTTTTGCAATTACTACCATCTTTCAAGGTTTTAGTACCAGCAACATCTGTCCTTTCTCTCTAATCTGGTAGACATATCTCATATAACCATCATTTCCCGTCATGCTTAATAACAATCAAAAGATCTTTAAAATCAATTCACTTTAAGCTGATAATAGTAAGAACGGTTTTAAAGACAAGTGTATAACTCTAGAAGCAATCGAGTCTAAGAGGTTCAAGTTAGCTAGAGTGTGATCCATAGGCCGTTGTTGTCTGCAATGCTTTATACAAATGAGAAGTTAGTGCTTCTGGCTGGTTTCACCGTTAGATTGTTGTTATCTATTGGGTTTTCTGGTCTACAGTCTTCATTGGATAATTCTGTAGAGTTTTCAACACCTTTCACTTCCTTTAAATCTCTACAAGAAGGTATATTTCTTTTGAATAATGGGTTCCCATTGTACAGTGGTGGTGTAGTCCATCAATCTCCGTTGTTGGTTTATTTTATTGCATTTTTCAATTCAAATTTAGCCATATCTGTCTTGTATGCATTAATCGATAGTATTATTGCTTATCAACTTTTGGCTATATCAAAATGTTTTAGAAACTTTCAATCTAAATCTACGTGGTATATTGCATTATTATATCTGTTTAATCCATTAGTTTTGCTTTCGAATATAAGTCGATCGTCAATTTTGTTTTCAAACGTTGCAATTTCAACAGCTTTATTGTATTCATTAAAGGGGAATTATTTAATAACAGGTGTTTCAATTGCTATCTCTGGATATCTATCGTTATATCCATTGTTATTAGTGATTCCCTTGTTGGGAATTTTACGTTCAAATACTTCAAGAATTAATTTGCTATCTACAGTTGTTGTTACTTTAGCAATTTTATTAGCCGTAAGTTTTAATACTTCTGGTAACAATTGGGATTTCATTAAATTAAATTACATTGCATTATTGAACTTCGAAAAATTGTCTCCAAATTTGGGTCTATGGTGGTATTTCTTTATAGAAATGTTCGATGTGTTCATCCCATTTTATCATTCTGTATTCAATTTATTCGTGGTATCTTTTGTTACCCCATTCACCATTAGATTTTATAAACAACCTTTATATGCATTCATTTTATCTATTGGTTGGATAACTTTAACAAAACCATACCCAACTTTAGGTGATTGTGGGTTTTTCCTAGGTTTTATTCCCTTTTTCAGTCCTATATTTGGTTATATGAAATATTCTGCGTTTACAACTTTATTATTTCTTCATGCAATGGTGCTGTCACCCATTTTTTATCATCTATGGGTAGATTTAGGTTCTGCTAATAGTAATTTCTTTTATGCAATTTCATTGGTATATGCTTTAGCAATTGCATCATTGATTGTTGATTTAATTTGGGCAATGTTACGTATGGAGTATGACAAGGGTAAACCGGATTTCAAATCAAAACTGACTCAGCTTTGATATTATAAGCAAATTGATTCGAAAACGAGAAAAAAATACAAGCCTAATTATTAATAATTTTTATAGTATTACATTATATATTTGTATAAACCTCTATAAAGTACATCACTTTTATTCCTTGTCTGTATCTTCTTTCGTTATTGCAATTTTTAATTTCAATTCATGTATTTTATGCCTATGGATATGCTTATCGTACCTTTCTTCAGTCTTAAAAGTTCTACTACACCCAAGATATTTACATTTTAATCTTCTTCCTACGGTATTCAGCAAAAGAGATAATCCAGAATTTCCTGATTCCAAATATTCCTCTAATTTCTCTTCATTAAGTACTGCACTTGCATTATTCAATTTCCTCCTTTTTGCCCTTGTTAGAATCTCATTTGCTGGCGACTCTGCCACTTTTGAAGTAGGCTCACTAGCACTTTCCACCAGGCCTGGAGGCAGTTCTTCTTTATGGATCTCAAGATAATGAGTAATTAACTCGTTTTTCTTCACAAATGAAATTGGTGGGTCACATTTGGAACATTTCCAATTTTTAGCCACTAAGAATTCATTATGCACTTCCATATGCATCTGTAGACCTGCTTCACCCACACACGGTTTATCGCAAATAGCACATTTCAACTTTGGATGATCATTTTTGGTATGAGTCTGTAGCGCTGTCCACGTCTTAAAACTCAATGAACAACCTCCGAAAGTACATTGATAAGGGTTTTCGACGTCTGGATTATGGTGTTTGGCAATATGTAATCTCAATCTATAAGGACGCTGGAAATCCTTGGAACAATGCTGACATCTTAATTTCTGCAAATGCACAGCTAGGATATGAGATCTCAGCTGAGGGTGTTTATAGAAGGACTCTGAACAGCCATCATGAGGACAAACAAACGATTTCGTGTGAGTGATTTCATGTCTTTTCAATTGCTGTCTAGTCGTCAAACCTTTATTACAAACAGCACAGGTAAATGGTTTTTCAGAAGAATGTGAGAATAGATGTCTTTCAAGATGACTTTTCTTGGAGAAAGCAGAATCGCATTGATCACATTTAAAAGGCTTGATTCTCAAATGGACAGATTGTTGATGATCTGTTAATAGTACTGGTCTACTAAATGCCTTATCACACCCGTCATAATCGCAGAAGAACCGTTTGGACCTTGACGCAGTCGAACTGGTGACACTTCCAGAAGAGCCACCACCACCACCACCGGTATTAGTCCTCTGCAATGGAGGTGTACATTCACTTTTCCAAAGACTAAGTTCCTCCATCTGCGTAGATGGATATTGATCTATAAGTAGTCTGCTTACTTTCCAATCTCACCACTGCCTTAATTTTGGTGTACGAATTGCTTTAGAAATAAAAACAGTTAGTCTTAGGTGACCAAACAAGTAGACCTGTGCTCGATAGATTGTTTCTGAAGCCACCATTTTCAATCCTACAGACTGAGCATTGCCGTTTCTTGATCTATCGATGTCTCATCTCAAATTCTGTTGCACATTTTACAAATGCCGGAGATTAGGAGAAAAACTAATTAGGTCATGTGATAGTCATGTGACAATTACTTCTTTCCTTCCTGTCCCCCATTTCTTCAATTGTTCCATAAAAAAAAAAGCAACAGCACAAGAAGATGGCATAGAATATATGTATCCAATTCCCCCAATTCCCAATCTCCCTCACCTGGTCCCAAACAGACTAAATCTCTAATCTCCCCACCTTTGGCGCAACAGTCTTCACCATGTTAAGCTACAAGCTCATAAGCTCACCCAATGTTACCCGCACTTCGTGAAAATTTTTTTTTTTAATATTGGCCGTGTTGAGTATCAGATTCCCAAATTGACAAATACTATTATGATATAAAGATGAAAAGTTGAATAATTATCTATTGATGAGATGAGATGAGATGATTGATAATTGGTTTTAGAGGTCACCAGGGGTAGCGGAAACGATGTCTGATTACGAGGAAGCGTATGTTATGTTTGGTATTATTTTTGTTTTTATGTGATGAGGACTTGATTAAACTAACAATTTTTATATTTTAATACTGCGCCGATGGCCAACAAAAAAAAATATTTCCATGTTATTCTAGATTTAACGAAGGTAATGAACATTTCGAGGATTTCGAAGTCGAGCACTTCTCAGATGAGGAGAACTTCGAAGAAGGCTTCCGTGACGGGGAGACTAAGAATGAGGAAGGAAAGACTATAATTACAGGTGGTTTAGGCCCAGATGACAACCAACAGAATGATATATTCAGAAGAAAGACTTTAAAAGAGAGGGCAATTCCAAAAAATGATAGAACTACTACACCATATATGACAAAATACGAGAGAGCAAGAATTTTAGGGACAAGGGCTTTGCAGATTTCCATGAACGCTCCTGTCTTTGTGGATTTGGAAGGTGAAACAGATCCTTTAAGAATCGCCATGAAAGAATTGGCTGAAAAGAAGATTCCATTGGTCATTAGAAGATACTTGCCAGATGGCTCTTTTGAGGATTGGAGTGTAGAAGAATTAGTTGTCGATTTGTAAACATAGAAGTTATTTCATACCAATATTATTACTATTATTATTAAAAGGGACATATTAAACTAAAAGAAAAAAATTATATATATATAGTTTTGTTTTACTATTCTCTTTCCCATTATATAAACTTATTAAGACAAAAAAACAGGCAAATAAAAAAGAATTGAAAATGCATATTGTATATTACTGTCTATTCATTACCAATAGAATTTAAAAACAGTTCGCTCTTAAACTTGCCATTTTTCTTATCACCGCCACCATAGTGCTTGGTTATCTCTGAAAACTGAGATTCTGCATCTTGGAAGCCTGCTTCCTTCAAATGCATAGTCAACTCTTGCTGCGAAACGTTACCATCAGATTCACTGGATATATTCTTAAAACTATCTTCCAACTCTTTTTTAGAAGAAAATTGTTCAAAAGATCCTGACATAACCCGTAGAAACTCAGGGAAACTAACTTCTTCACCAACTCCACCACTATTCAGCATCCCATCTAACTCATTTTCACCAATTGTAACCCCCAGTGTCTTAAACGTCTTCTTCAGATCTTCTTTTGTAATACTTCCATCACCATCATCATCAATCATTTGAAAGGCAACCTTTAACCTATCAATCAATTCGGAACTTAAAACATTAAAATTAACCGACGTACTACTATCCATCTCAACCAATTGCAACGATTCAAACCTTTGCCCTGATTCTCGATCCGGTTCTATATATCCAAAACCTTACTGAAAGATTTGATCATTATCTTCTTTTCAATTTAATTTATATTTATTTATTTAGGTTCGGTTAAATTTTTAAACATTAAGAAACAATTCTTGATACTTTTAAGAACTTCCACTGTTGAGAAAGGTTAAGAAGAAGTAAACGCATCAAGGTCAAGACCCTCTAGGATTGGTTATATTGCAATATTGCACTGTGAATTGGTTTTCAACAAGTAATGTCAAGTGTTAAAGATCTTTTAAAGGAGGCTAAAAATGAGCTTGCTAGAGGAGATTATGAAGAAGCTATAGAAATATCTAAAGAGGTGTTGAAAAAGGAAGAAAATAATTATTTTGCTTATGTGTTTATGGGTAAAGCTTACTCCTGCATAGCTAATAGTGTCGAAGAGGCTTTGAATAGTTATATAAGGGCTACTGAATTGGTACCGTCAAATGTTTTGGGTTGGAAAGGTCTATTTTTATTGATAAACTCAAACGATGTTTTACCAACTCATCTCACTTTTAATAAATACTTCGATTTATGTGGTGATTATTCCAATGTGTTATTATCACAGGAGCTGCCATTGGTCGATTTGATTCATGAAATGAGAACAATTAGGAAAAAATATCCTGATTGTGAAGAATCATTCCTAAGACATATGTGCCCTGGTTCGCAAATGGGCGAATCTATCTCTAGACATTTTATCACTCCACAAGAATGTCTCTCAAAATTGATACAGATAATTAATTCTAAAGAGAAAGAACAAGTTTCAAAAATTGTCAGCAGAGAAAGATTGAAACTAAGTGCTAATGATCCATTATACCAAACAAAGATTAATTCATTGGCTTGGGAGGTTTATCAAAGTTCAGATGTCGAAGATCTATACGTCCAATTGATTAATATTTCTGATGATGATGAAGAGAGATCGAAATTTGAAGAAGAGCTATTAGATCATAGAATCGTAGTTTTGAAGTCAATGCCAATTGATCTTAAGGGATCATACTTCCAGAAGGTAAAATCGATGGTGGAAGATATGGTCCTAGTTGGTACTAAGTCTGAAAAAGCGTGGAAACTTTATTTTGAATGGCAAGATTGTACTGATCTGAATTCTTTGGATGGACAAATAGTAATGAAATATTTTACTACGTTCCCAAAGGAACCATTGTCAGTTATACTATATGCATGGGTATGTTCAAAATATTCTTCTTACGACATAAAACAATTAAACACAACAGGTAAGGATGAACCTCAAGCCATTAAAGATGAACCAGATATGACAGAAATTGAACAGTCTGAACTGTCAGAAATGACAGAAAATGAAGAATCAATACCAGCATTATTGGAAGCTGATATTTTAGAAACCCTTATGGAAAATATATCAAGAGCAAAAACTAGTATCATTGCTTATAGAATAATTTCCCAATATTACTTATTGTCTGCGGAATATGCTGCTGCACTACCTTATATTAAATCTGGTATATCATTAACAGCATTTGCGATTAGAGATTTAGGTGCACATTTAATTAATTCAAAATTTGCATTTACTTTAGATCTTGCTTCCGCATACACTTATTTCGATGCTCCAAAACATCACAAAACAGCGTTAAGTTTATTCGATAAGGTCCTATCCGAAGATGAATTTAATGCTAGAGCTAAACTAGGTAAAGGTCTGATTTTCATGGAAAGAGAAAACTGGATAGAAGCTAAAACGTTCTTATCTGAAGTTGCTGAAAAATTTTCAGACAATTTAGATATTTTATCACAGTTAGGTTGGAGTGAAGCAAACCTCGGAAATCATGATAGAGCTCTTGAAATTTTCAATAATGTTCTAAATAGTATAGAAGGTGTTGATATTAAGACATGTGAATTAAAAGCGGCCAATTATTGGAGACAAGCCAAAACATATTTACTATTGCAAAAAGAAGAAGAGTTAAAGATAACTGATAGTGACATGAGATACGTAACATTAGCTTATAGATCGCTAATCCATTCATTAAAGGTACTAGATACCTTCTCAAAATCTTATTCTACTTTGGGTGATATTTATGCAAATTATTACAGTGATACAAAAAGGGCATTCGGCTGTTACTATAAGGCATTTGAATTAGATTCCAGTGATATCGTTGCAGCAAAATATATGGTCGAGACATATTGTAACAGTGGAAATTGGTCGGCTGCAGAATCAATCTCAAAAATCTTAGTTAAAACCGATGGTGCAAAGAAATATTTAAGGTATACATGTTGGCCATTTAGAGTTATAGGTATTGCTAATTTAGAGAGACAACAAGAGAGCGATGCAATTGAATGGTTCCAATCTGCTTTACGTATTGAACCGAATAATGTCGAATCGTGGGTTGGATTAGGTCAGTCTTATTTGAGTTGCGGCAGAATAGAAGCCTCTATTAGAGTATTTGAAAAGGCAACAGAATTAGATCCCGATCACCTGTATGCAAAATATTTTACAGCACAATCCCTTTCAGAGATGGGTGAATATGTTAAGAGTATTTCTATATTTGAAGAAATAATAATGGAAACCCCAAAGGAAGAATCATTCCAAGTTTCATACTCAGAAACTTTGATGAAACATGCCCAGGATTTATTTAATCAAGGATTTTTAACAAAGTCTGTATCAATTGCTATTGAGGCAATTTCTGTTATGAGTTATATTGCGACAGATTTGAATCGTTTCCCAAGCAATCTATGGCTATCTCTTTTCTCTGCATTGAAATTATTTATTCTAGTCGAATCAAAAGTGGATAAGTTACCAATAGAAACCGTAGTTTCGATTTTTGAAAATTGTAAAATAAAAGACGTATCAGAAATCGATGATATCGATGGTGTTACCATCTCATCATTGCTAACTACCGCTGATGATAATGTTGTGATAACATGCCAATCTCTGATTTTAGCTGCTAAATGTGCAATTTCAACTGGTAATATTGATCAAGCTACAGGAACTTTAAAGTCATCACTGTGGCATAATTTAGGTATGGCCGAGCTCATTTCTTATTTAACATTAAAAGATAATAAGCACAAGGAATCATCGATCTTCTGCTTTAAGAAAGCTATTAAATATCAATCAAATAGTTTTGAATCCTGGGTAGGTTTAGGGATTGCCACTATGGATGCCAATTGGAAAGTCTCTCAGCATTGTTTTATAAAAGCGATTGCTTTAGCACCAAGAGAGTCTCATATTTGGTTTAACTTGGCTGTTCTTGCATTGAAACAAGACGATATTGAATTTACACGTCAAGTCAAATCAAGGTTACAGAGTATAGCCCCACAAGATTCCTCAGCAAGGCTTGGTATGGCATTAGTATAGAACAG